CTTTGCTGTGTCCCATAGGTTCCAGTAGGTTGTGTTTTCATTTTCATTGACTTCCAGGAACTTTTTAATTTCCTCTTTTATTTCATCAATGACCCATTTTTCATTAAGTAATGAGTTGTTCTGTTTCCAGCTGTTTGCATGTTTTTTGTCTTTACTTTTGTTGTTGAGTTCTAGTTTTTTTGCATTGTGATCGGATAGAATACATGGTATAATTTCTATTTTCTTATATTTGCTGAGGCTTGCTTTGTGCCCTAGGATATGATCTATTTTGGAGAAGGTTCCATGGGCCAGCAGCCCTTTTTTATGATAGTTTTTTTCAAGATAGGGTTGTGAGAACTATTTTCCTGGGCTGACTTCAAACTATGATCCTCCCGATCTCTGCCTCCTGAGTAGCTAGGATTATAGGTTTGAGCCACCAGTGCCTGATTAAATGTTACCCTTTTTTCCCAGACTGACAAGAATGCTTATATGTGATTCAGCTGAATCTTTTTTTGAAGGAAAATGCCTTTTTGCCTTTGTTTATATGCTGGAGACTTTTGTCTATTTGGTTTGATATATAAGCTTTTCATAGATTCTGTGAAGTCTTAGCTATGGCTGCTTCTTTTATAAAAAAGGGCATTCTGGAAATGGCTACTTTCATAGCTTTTTTCTAAAATAATTCCTCAGAGATCCCCATTTCTATAGGGCTCCTCTTTCCTTTTATTCTTGTCATCTATGAAGAGACTCACACTAGATACCATTATATTGTGAGTGACATTTTATTAGAAGAGGTTGATAATTTTCCACTCTACTCTTACAGGAAAGGAAAATTTTCTAGATGGCAGCTCTTTACTGTTTCTTGAAATTTGTGCACGGTTAATACTGTTTACAGCTCCCTCGCCATAACTGTAGCATCCCTGCCTCGAGTACACACATTTCAGAACTGTTTTTTTTTTAAAAAGCTTGTGTCACTTCCATGGAACTTAGTAGCATCTTAAAATAGCAATGGGAGCTTTCTTGTAAAGACAGATCCAGATCTTTGATTGCCTAATAAGAGCTTTAGACCCTTCCTAATGGTGAGTTCCTAGGATTCTGAAAAGTGCTACAATTCACCAGGTGGTGGTGGCTCACGCCTCTAATCCCAGCTACTCAGGAGGCAGAGATCAGGAGGATCGTGGTTCAGAGCCAGCCCTGGGAAATAGTTAGTGAGACCCTATCTTGAAAAACCCAACACAAAAGGGCTGGTAGAGTTGCTTGCAGTATAGGCCCTGAGTTCAAGACCTAGGACTGCAAAAAAAAAAAAAGCTCTTAAATTCTTTTCTAGCTATATTTTTGCTGAATGTGTTATGAAGGTAGAATAGAAAGGTGGATTTTTCAAATTCAAAATATTGTTTTAGCCAATTACAAAATATATTGTAAATTAAAAAAGCAGCAAACCAGGATGGAGATGTAGTTCCATGGTAGAGAACTTGGCTAGCTTGTGTGAGGTGCCCTGGGTTCCATCTCCAGCACTAAAAAAAGTGGGGGTAGGGTGAGAGAAAATTACTTTTTAGATTAATTTCTGAAATCCACTTCAAAAATCTTGCCTATAGAGTCCTTTAACCAGTTGGATATATAATACTGCAAGAGTTACATTTTGTTTTTCCAATTACTATTGTCAACTATATAAATTAGATTTAGTGTTATTTTAAATTGTATCTATTTGCAAAGTTGTACTGTAGTCATTATGAATCACCTGAGTTGCCTTTACTCAAACGGACCCTAAATTGGCTACTTTTTAAGGTTGTGGCATTTTCATACTCATCTTATTCTCAGAACAAAGGGTTTCAAAGTGAAATTTCCAGTAAAATTGAGAGGCTTGTGACTAATCATGTTGGATGGTTAGGTTTAGTTTTTGTCAAGGTTTGAATATCTGAAGTCGTTTCATCTTAAGAGGAATGAGAGCAAGCCAAAGATGACTAATGAGCTAAGAGACCTTTGGCCAGTTGTTCTCATTACCCAACCTGCAAGTACTTATTGGGCACCTGTAATGGGCTTGGTTAAATGTCTTTTTTTTTTTTTTTGAGGCAGGGTTTTGCTATGTAGTTCAAGTTGGCCCTGGAACTGACTAGGTAGCCCAGGCTGGTCTCAAACTCAAAATCTTCCTGCCTCAGCCTCTGAAGTGCTGCAGTTGCAGACGCACACCATCACCTTCTACTTAAATTGATTTTAATAAAATGAATACTAGCCCTGGATCACCACAGTGTTGTTCCACCTTTCTATTTTACAACCCTGTTTTATCACATGTGTCCTACTATGTTGTCTCTATGTTCATGACTATCTCTGCTTTTTTATGCTGGGTATTTCTGAGACTAGAGATGGTAGCAAATGTTCAGTGATATAAAAAATAAAGGGCTTCAGAAATTATGCGATCCATGAATACTGTTTATTATTTCTATCAGTTTTAATGAGATGCTGCAGATTCAACCTAGGGCCTTGGCATGCCAGGAAAGTACTACCACTGAGTTACATCCCCAGAGCCTGTATTTGAAACCTCTACAGTATATTGTGTGGTATCCGTATGCTTTTATACTAATAGTGCACATGCCCTATGCATGCGTGTGCAAGCAAATGAATTGCTCAACTCAGAAGAGACTCCAGGAGTATAACTGCTACTGCTAAGCAGGAAATCGAACATGTAGGGGAACAGTGTGAAGTCTCCAGCTGCTCTAGGTAGAAAGCAGGAGAGGCCAGTCAGACCTCCCCCAGGCTTTGGGCTTCAGTTCTGGATGGGGACAGAGGGCTCCTCCCTTCACTAGGATGGGAGAGGAGTATTCTCTTAATTGCCAAGGAACTGAGGAGTAGGGAGGGGGGGTGTTAGAGGAGACTAGCCCAGGATGGCAAGGCTTCCAGGAAGAAGGGACTCTCAGCAACAGGATTTCTTCCCACTGAACTACAGGTTGGGATAGAACTGGTACATCTTATTCTCTTGTTTCTAGCGAAACAGTAGACAGTGATTTTTGTCACATTCGCACAGCTGACTTCTGCAGTAGTCCTGGTTTGTGGCACAGACAGTTTTGCCTTTGCTCTGGCCAAACTTGTAGCTCAAGTTTCGGGCTGCACCCAAGTTTCTCCAGAAGGCAGTAGCAACAGTTGTGGGCAGCACAGCACCAAAGGCCACATGATCTGCTAGCAGTGGTCAGCAGCAGGAGGGTCTTCATGCTGACAGTTCTCTAGAGGTGCTAACCTTGATATCTCCAGTGACTCTTCCTATAAACACTTTGGGCATCATATTATTGCACTGTCTGGGCCTCATTTAGTCTTTAGCAGGCAGTCTCTTGTTCAGTTATGGTCTGAGGGCTGGCTGAATGTGAATGCCCAGCTTCCTACCAGGCTACTCTGATGCTATTGTGGCAATGTGGAGCGCTGACTCACGCTGCCTCATTGCAGACAGGTGAGGTGGAAGGTCAATTTCCCCCTTGGTCCTGCCGACACCTTCCTGGTGAAAATGGGACACCAACTTACATTAACCTGCAGCACTCCATTGCCTCCTGGTGGGGGTCTAAGCTCATTCCTGCTGATAGCAGACGGGGGTCAGAGGAAATGGAGTACCACTTCTGCCACCTCTTACCTCTTTCTGTTTACTGCTGCCAGGAGGGAGTAGAGGTTTTAGTTCACTGGTTGACAGTACCTGGTTTTAGCCCAGTGGGTGGGGGAATTGGAGTGCTGCCACCTGCTTTCGTGGGGATAGAACAGGAAGTGCTGTCCAGTCCTGCTGAAACCATGGGGAGCAGCAACTTTTTTGTTTGCATTTGATTGAAGTGTGTGTGTGTGTGTTTGCGCTCGTGTGCGTGTGTGCAGGGGTGCGTGTGGGCGGGGGGATATTGCCAAGATTTTCTGTTGTTAGGCTTCTTTCCCAGTCTTTTGGCTAGGGGCAATAAACTCTATTTGGAGTTTTAAAAATCTGTGCTTGTTACCAGTTCTGGGTTGAAGGTTTCTGCAGTGTCCTATCTGGGCTGAGTTGGAGGCAATAAGGAAATCCAGGGAGCTCATTACTGTATTGTTCAAGTCCTGAGGTCCCTAGGTAGTCTGACTTCTTTACACCTTTTAGAGTATCCCTATGTCTGTTTGTGACATCAAATAATGGGACTGCTCCATCTTGGCTAGAACCAGAAGTCACATTCTTTTTTAAGATGAGGATGCTAGCCCACTGTAGTGGTACACACTTGTAACCTCAGCACTTGGTAGACTGAGGCAGGAGGATAGCAAGTTTGACACCAGCCTGGGCTACCATAGCAAGACACTGTCTCAAAAATAGAGACTACCCTATAAATCAGTTCTCAGTGGAAGTACCAAGTTTTTGTTTAGTTTTTATTTTTGGCTGCACTGGCATTGAAACTCAAGGCCTTCCACTTGCTAGGCAAGTACTCTACCACTTGAGCCATGCCTATAACCCTTTTCACTTTAGGTATTTTTTTAAATAGGGTCTCACATTTATGTCTGGACTGGCCTGAACCACAGTCATCCTATTTACACTTCTTATATAACTGGGGTGACAGGCACATGCCACCACACCCAGCTTTTATTGGTTGGGATGGGGTCTCACGAGCATTTGCCTGGGCTGGCCTTAAACTCCTACCTTCCCAATCTGCGCCTCTTGAGTAGCTCAGACACATGGCTAAGCAGCAGAATTTTGAGTGTGTGTTTGTGTGTGTGTGTGGTATTGGTGATCAAACCCAGAGCCTCATGCATGCTAGGCAAATGCTCAACCATTGAGCTATGTCCCCAGCTCTCAGCAGCAAGATTTTTTGAGAGTGATTTGGAAGTGATTTGCAAACTGAACTCTCAAGATATCTTCTTAATTTTTCTTTTTGCAAAAGGATTTTGAAGCCAAAATAAAACTTGAAAACCACTGCTCTAGGATACTCCAATCATGATTAAGTCCAGAGCTTGGTTTTATGTGTGTCTCTCACAGCTTGTCTTTGAACCATTGGGAAACAGATTCTCTTTTTCTTTTTTTCAAGCACTTAAAAATGCGCAGCATGGAGAGCATGTTCTTTTTCAGTACACATGAAAGGGATAGAGTCATTTATGCAGCTGCATCTTCTTTGTTTTTATAGTTTGTTTACTACCTTCTCCATCTTAGGCATTTTTGTTCTTTTGTCAGGTATCCTGGATACAGCCATCGTTGATCGAGGGAGGAATGTGGTGTCTGGTTCTCGAGATGGGACAGCACGACTTTGGGATTGTGGGCGCTCAGCCTGCTTGGGAGTCATTGCAGACTGTGATTCTTCCATTAATGGAGTGGCAGTGGGTGCAGCTGATAACTCCATAAACCTTGGCTCTCCTGAGCAGATGCCTAGTAAGTTATCACCTTACTTAAGCCCCCTTCCTTCAAAAAGTGACTCAGTACAAAACACTTCCTTCAGTATTTATCTTAGTTTCTCCTTTTCTTCCTCATCCTTTCTTGCTCTGTAGGTGTTATTTCTGTTTTCACTGTAAGATTAAACATTTACTATGTTTCTGTTACTTTAGAGTCTACAAAGGAAGTATATATTATAGTCACTATATTTGAGTAAGTACAATGTAATTTAGTAGGTAAATATAATGGCTATAAAACTGGGTGCTGGTGGCTCACACCTGTAAAACTGCCTTCTTGGGAGGCTGAAATCAAGAGGATTGTGGTTCCAGGCCAGCACGGGCAAAAAAGTTTGCAAGACTCCAAGTCAGTGGAAAAAATCTGGGTGTGGTGGAATAGGAGGATTGTGGTCTAGGGCTGGACTGGGCAAAAAGCGAAATAACTAGAGCAAAAAGGGCTGGAGATGTGGCTCAAGTCATAGATCACCTGCCTAACAAGCATGAAGTCCTGAGTTCAAACCCCAGTACCACCTCCCCCACCACCACCAACAAAAAAAGATTTAGTGAACAATAATGTTTTGGCTATAATAAAAAAGTGACTCTTGGTACAAATATAATAGATTTTTAGAGGAAGGCAGTGTTGCATGTTAGTGTAGATGAGAAAGATACTACAAATGAAGTTGGTTTAAACATTGAAGGATGAACTCCAGGTGAATAGACTAAAATGGGAAAGACTGGAAAACAGGAGCTAGGGCAGGGGATAGATGTAGACGCAGGTCGCATTATAGTGTGGAGGTGAGATTGAGTGTCATATAAAAAGATGTGCTTGAGTTAGAAGTTTGAATTAACAGTGTTAGATGGAATAGCTCTTGTGAGGCAGAATAGTAAAGCTCCTAATAAGACAACTGTCATTCTTATTTTCCCATGACAATACTAGTAATTGCTTCTCTATTCTATACGATCACTTTTTCTGTCATTAATTATCATCTTTCTTTTTTTTTTTGGTGGTTGGGGTTTGAACTCAAGGTTTCACACTTTCTAGGCAGGCACCCTATCAGTGGAGCCACTCCACCAGCACGCTTCTCTCATTTTTAAAAAATAGACTTATTCTTTAGAGCAGTTTTAGGTTCACAGCAAAATTGAACAGAAGTAGAGTTCTCATATACTTTCTGCCCCACCATCAGCTAATGCCCCCACCCCTGTCAATATCCTACAGCAGAGTGGTACATTTGTCATAATCAGTAAACCTGCATATCATTGTCATCCAAGGGGCATACATTTAAGGCTCTTGCATTGTGATGTGTTTTGACAAATGTATGACAACATATACCCACTAATATAGTGTCATATAGTTTCACTGCCCTAAAAATCCTGTGTGCTCTACCTATGATTCCTTCTTCCCTCCCCACTGATTTTTTTTACTGTTTCTCTAGTTCTGCCTTTTCCAGAATGTGATAGTTGGAATCATATAGGTTTAGGCTTTTCACATTGGTTTCTTCCACTTTTTTTTATACATTTGGAGTTCCTTGTCTTTTCAATCACTCATTTCTTTTTATTGTTTATTTTTATTATTCATTTCACTGAATAATATTCCATTGTCTGGATGGACCAGTTTAACCACTCATCTACTGAAGGACATCTTGGTTGCTCCCAAGTTTTGGTAATTGTGATTAAATCCACGTGCAGATTTTTGTGTGACCTAAGTTTTCAACTCATTTGGGTTAATTTTACCCCTTTTTCTAAGTGCCCCCACACACCTGTCTTTAATTTCTCATATAGCTGCACCATGGCAAAATCATCACTGACCATTGAATGTTCCCTGACCCCTCTTTGAAAATTACTGGGTAGTTGGGAGCATCTATTTCTTAAAGAGCCATACATGTATAGTTAATGGCAAATAAGATTATTTCACACTGTATACATTTTTAAGTTACATATTAATATAATGCACACATATTTCAAACCTAAGATCTCACAGACATTTTTACTTAATACGGGGTTAAGTTTTTAAAAAATTAGTTGATAATTAAAATAATCTAAATGAAAATATTCTTGTTTGCTCTTTTTTATTACCTATTTACTCTTCGGCCCATTCTAGGGTGGTTTATGCCCCCAACTACTTGACTGAAGTGGCTCTTGTCATGACCTCTATATTGCCTAATTCAATCTTAATTCTTTGTGCTTATCTTTCTGAATTCAACAGTTTTCAACATAGGAAACCCCTCTCTTCAGAAACACTTTCTGGCCAGACATGGTGGATGATACGTGTCTGTAATCCCAGCACTTGGGAGACAGGCAGGAGGATTGTGAGTTTGAGGCTGTCTGGGCTTTGTAGCAAGACCCTGACTTAAACAAACAAAACCACTTTTGATACCACACCAGATTTTCTTAGTATCTCATTGGCCGCTACTTCTTAGTCTTCTTTTAAGTTTCCTCTCGTCTACCTTTTAGTATTGGCAGGCTTCACTATTAAGTCCGGGGCTTTCAGCAATAAGTATAGTTTTTCCCTAGGCACTCTCATCAGTTCTGTAGCATTTTTTTTTTTGGAGGTACTGAGGTTTGAACTCAGGGCTTACACACTTTCAAAGCATGCACTCTACCACTTCATCCATACCTTCAGTCCATTTTGCTCTGGTTCTTTTGGAGGTGGGGGTCTTGCAAACTATTTGCCTGGGCTGACATCCAGCTGAGATCCTCCTGATCTCAACTTCCCAAGTAGCTAGGATTACAGGCATGAGCCACTGGCATCCAGCTAGTTCCAGAGCTTTAAATATTGTATTTAAGATGATGATTTCCAAAAGTAAAACTTGGGCCTCTCACTGGAGTTTGAGACATATTCAGATGTCTGATAGCTTAACCTTACCTTGTCTAATAAGGAATGTTTGCAGTACTGTGGGTTGAACTTAAGGCGTCATGCTTGCTAGGCTGGTGCTCTACCACTTGAGCCACTCTGCCAGCCCTGTTTTGTGTTGGGGTTTTTCAAGATAGGGTCTTGGGAATTATTTGCTCAGGCTGGCTTCCAACCACAATCCTCCTGATTGCTGCCTCCTGAGTAGTTTAGGATTATAGGTGTGAGCCATGGTACCCAGCTAAAAAGTCAACTTTTGAATTGCACAGTTATTTGAGTTTTAAAATTTTAATTTAACTTAATATTTTTAATTTTGTATGTTTTGACAAGTGTATATCGTTGGATAAACAGTACCACAATGAGAATGAGAACATAATTTTAAAAACTAGTCAGTGAATCACTACCATGGAGTACAGTCAATAAACAGCCATCAGTGTCTGTGCTGTATGGCCCTGCCAGAGGACAGGTCTGGCTGTCATTAACTTGGCTTATTTGTCATGCAGGTGAACGGGAGGTTGGGACAGAGTCGAAAATGCTACTGGTGGCCCGGGAAGATAAGAAGCTTCAGTGCTTGGGACTACAGAGCAGGCAGCCGGCAAGTGGTTCTTATAAGGCCTTTGAACTCTGAGGACACTGATTCTTGGCAGGCTGATTTAGGAACATTTCTGCTTGCTCCCTGGGCTCACTTTTAAAGGAGATTGTATGGGTGAGAGGAAGTCTAATGTAGCAATTAAGAGCATAGAACTTGGGAAAACATTTAAATCACAGCTCTTCCACTTAATGACTGCTATTGGACAGGTGGCTTAACCTTGCTAAGCCTGTTTCCTCATCACTAAAATAGATATGATGGGACTTACCTTAAAAAGTTAATATCATCCTCGTCATATAAACCTATAAAGTAAGTCACTTTCCCTCTCTTAATTTTAGTGTGCCATATGTAAAATGATAAGGTTGTTTGGATCCTATTTACAGGCCCTTTGTTTAATCTTGTTTCTTCTGCCTCTGAGGTAATTTGAAGAAATTCTTTATAAAGAGCTCATGCATTTAGGAGTCTCGATCAGTTAATGACCAGAATGTATTTATAGAAGAAATAATTGAATTTTCCTCTGTCATCTTCTGAGGTTTTGTTGGGCAGATTTTGCTCTTAACTTTCTTTCTGAGTTTAGATTTTTATTTGTTTGTTTTGTTTGGGTGTTTTTTGTGATACTGGGCCATCCCAATTCAGGGTCTTGAACTTGCTAGGCAAGTGTGAGATTAGATTTTTTAAAATTTCCTTTACTTTCTGTCATCATTATCCAGAACAACTTCAGTGACTTGGTTTGGTCACAGCCTTTACTGTTTTCATTTCATCTTGTTACTCTGTTGCACTAATGATTTCATTTTCAAAGTTTGTTGAGTGAACATCATTTTGGCTGTATGCTTTTGCACTTGAACTTCCATGCTAGCTTTTCCTTCCAAAGGAAAATGGGAGGAGGTCATTTGTTGTTTTTGCTTTTTTCTTTTTATAACATTTGAAGGAGAAATGATCAGTTTGAGCTAACAGTATGGAATAAATGAAAATAAAATATGTATATATATATATATATATATTAGATACAGGGAGAGAATTGGGATTCCTCAAATTGCCACTTTGTTTGAACATGTTTCTTTTCCTACAAAGTACCCCCATTTAAAAGGTTGCTGGAAGCGACATGAAGCAAAATTTTAATTTGCTTTGTAGGAAGTATAAGTGTTTCTTAAATAGAGAAAGGAGGAAAAAAGGCTGCAATCCCAGCTACTTGGGAGGCGGAGATAAGAGGATCTCTAACTGAGGTGGGCCCAGACAAAAAGCATGGAACTCTATCTGAAAAATAACTAAAGCAGCTGAAGGCATAGCTCAAGTGGTAGAGTGCCTGCCTAGTTGGTGCTGAGGATCCTATCAGTCAGAGTATTGAGGGGTAGTAATTTGGAAGCTGTTACCTCAGAGTGCACTGTTATATAAACTACTTAAGCCTTCCTCAGGTCCTAAAATCCTGGGACAGCTTTCTTTTCAGTTATTGGTGAGTGCTGTGTTTACTATTCAAGGGTGCTTAAAAGGGAGAGGAAGAAAATCTCTAAAAATGGTGCAAATTTCCCCTCTTTTGGTATCTATTTATTCCTGGAAACAAATTACTCTTTAAATAGCATTTTTGTCTCCTGCTTGTTCCCAGGTGTTCCTCTTTATTGGTTCAGATGCCTTCAACTGCTGTGCTTTTCTCTCTGGCTTCTTGCTGTTGGCTGGAACACAAGATGGAAACATTTATCAGCTGGATGTGAGAAGTCCAAGGTGAGTCACCCTTCATTTGCATCCTGCAAGTCTTGTGCAGACTGGAATTTTTTATTGCCTTTAACATTGATTTGGCCTATCATATGAGTGACTGTTGCATTAAAGGTATATTTTTCCATTGATAAAGGTTTTCTGGTGTGAGTTTTTTGATTATTCTTATTATTCCTAGAATCATATTAAAAGATAATCTGATTCCTACTGTCACAATTATCCAGCTGTAAGGATGGCTTTGGAAATTAATCTTTATTTAAATGAACTAGCATTTCATTTAAAATGATTAGCTAAGCCATGTACTGGTGGTTTACACCTGTAATCCTAGCTGCTTGGGAGGTTGAGATTGGAAAGATCAAGGTTTAAGGCCAGTCTGGGCAAATAGTTTGTGAGACCCCCCATCTCCAAAATAACCAGAGCAATGGACCGGAGATGTGACTCAAGTGGTAGAGTTGACTGCTTTGCAAGTATGAAGAAGCTCTGAGTTCAAACTCCACTTCAACAACAACAACAAAAAATTATCTAGCACTTTTAATTTTCAGGACTTAACCAATTTTCCTTAAGATATTAAACCTTGGCTGGCCTAAGATTGATTTTATTTTCTTTTTGGCAGTACTGGGGTTTAAACACAGGACCTTATGCTTGCCAGGAAGGTACTCTAACACTTGAGTATGCTCCCAGTCCGTTTTACTTTTGTTATTTTTCAAAATAGGGTCTGCCTTTTATGCCCAGGCTGGCCTGGACCAAAATCCTCCTGTTTAGTCTTACTGCATAGCTAGGGTGACAGGCACACTACTGTGCCCAGCTTTTCATTGGTTGAGGTAAGGTTTCACTGACTTTTTGCCCTGAGTGTCCTTGAATCATATTTCCCAAGTAGCATGAGCCACCAGTGCCCACCTTGAATGATCACTATTTTTTAAATTTAATTTTATTTTTATTATCATATTATTGTATTAGGGGTACACTGTGACACTTACAAAAGTGCTTACAAAATGTCTTAATTAAATTCACTCCATCATTCTCCTTTATTTGAATGACCAGTTTTAATTCATGTAAGCCAGCTCAGATTCCTATTTATCTTTGATCATGATCTATCTGAAACAGGCCTTATTATGGTCTTAAGAGATATCCAAAGGGAATCACATATCTCTGTTGCAGAATTTAACAATTCCTTTGATTCTCTCCCTTCCTGCTTTTATGTCTATCCTTTGTCCAAGAAATATTTATTGAATGGCTTCTGTGGGTACCATTTTTATCTTTTTAGAGTCTTGACAATTTTAATATTTTACAACTAGTCTTAATTCTATCTTTAGGTAAAAAAATGTTAATATATTGTTATCTTCAATCCATGTCACGTCTCCTCTAAAAACCTGAGATTTTGGTGATAACTTAGTTCATATTTAGAGACACATTTAGATTCACTCCAAAGTTTTTAATTACATTGATCTGCCAGTTAAGGATGTTGCCAGGAAAGAAGCCATGTGAATGGTTTTACTCTCTCTCCACATTTGTCCTATTTCCTTTTATGTGGTTAGTACTACATGCTAAATATAGTCAAGTATTGCTTTCAAAGAAATAAGTTGCCCTTTTTATTCTGAATCCTAGGGTTCCAGTGCAAGTCATCCATAGATCAGGAGCACCAGTTTTGTCCCTGCTGAGTTTCAGAGATGGATTCATTGCTACCCAAGGTGAACCAGAGGCCAATTAAGAGATAGAAGCCACTAATTCAGTTAATTAAACATACTTCTGGGGGGGTGTTGTTTTGTTTACAGTACTGAGCATTGACTCCAGAACCTTGCTCATGCTGGACAGGCTCACTACCCTGAGCTACACCCCCAGCCATTGTAATTTTTTTTATTTTGAGACAGAGTCTTACTTAGTTGCCCAGGCTGGTTTTAAACTTGGAATCCTACTGCCTCAACCTCCTGAACAGCAGGAATTACAGATGTGTGCCACTGTACCAGGCTACTAAATAGTTTTAAGTGGTTGATTTATGGCTGGGTTGGGGAGTGGTCCTCCATAATTCTTTAGCATGTTGGACTTATCATGTAATGTTTAGTTTATCATTCTATATTGTTATCTGTGCCTCTCTCCAGTTCAAGATTCTTTTTTTTTTTTTGTGGTACTGGAGTTTGAACTCAGGCCTTATGCTTCCCAGGCAGGTGCTCTACTGCTTGAGCCACTCCTCCAGCCCTAGTCCAAGCTTCTTGAGATTCATGACTGTGCCTTATTCATTCTCTTATCCCTAGCATTTAGCTCAATTCCCATTATGTAGTAGGAGCTCAGTAAACATTAGTAGAATAAATATATGGGCCCTTATTGAGAATTTGATAATCAGTATCTGCCCTAAAGGAGCTCACAGTTAGCACAGCAAACGTGAGCATTTGATTGTGAACTCAATAGCAGAGATCACTTTTTTCCCTGCTGACAAGTAATACAGTGAGAAACTGACAAGATATCATGGCTGGCTTCCCACTCTGACTTAAAATGAGATTCTTTTTTTTTTTTTTTTTTCTGTGGGTGTTCTCTTCAGTTTAGAGACCATTTCTTTTGATGAACAGAAGCTTTTTAGCTTTATGAGGTCCCATTTATCTATGCTATCTCTTAG